TATATCTGTTTGTCACCTTTGTGTGTGTTTTGTTTCTCTCTCTCTCTCTCTCTCTCTCTCTCTCTCTCTCTCTCTCTCTCTCTCTCTCTCTCTCTCTCTATATATATATATATATATATATATATTATATATATATATATATATATATATCCTATCCTATATGTACTCTCATTTTCGCTCGTCCCCCTCTCTCTCTCTCCTCTATTTCCTCTCTCTATATATTAGGATTTTTTTAACACATTTATGCACACAAACAAATAAACAAATACACACACTCACACAAACACACACACACACACACACATATATATGTGTGTGTGTGTGTGTGTGTGTGTGTATGTATGCATGTATGTATGTATATATATACGTGTGTGTATGTTTGTTTATTTGTTTGTGTGCATAAATGTGTTTAAAAAATCCTAATATCCGGAAAAAAGATAGATATAAATTTGTGAGAATTCTTTGTCTTAGCAAGCGAACGCACACGCATGTAGAGAGAAGAGAAGGGCGCGCGAACCATTCAAGACAGCATAAAAAAGATGCCGGCTTACTAAAAGGAAAATAAAGAACGATATTCTCCACAGATATTCTCTACAAGCTCACAGAAAAATATAGACTGTAAAATATGTTGACTAGACAAAAAAAAAAAAAACGCTTTCTTAAAAAAAGAAAATCACATAATATTGCACAAAAAATGGATACAGAATGTGCGACTCTCACATTTTATATAAAAAGAATAAAATTCACAGGGATTTCCCGCCTAGAAAAACACAGTTTTGCAAGATTCAAGAGAGAGAAACAAAAAAGCATCGGCAGTCAGACGGAAGAGTTCCATCATCCGATAGATTCTATCTCTCAAGCGAAGAGCATCTGAGCATGAGGAATAAAACCAGTGCGGAAAAGAGAGATGATTTCGAAAAATTGGATCTGTTTATCCTTGTCGAGATGATACTAGGTTCGTAGCCCTCGTTCTCAAAATGATGGGTAGAACAGATTCAATCTAAGCGGTAAAAAAAACTAGAAAATAAATAAGAAAAACATTTCAAATTGCAAAACAGGCTGTTGTTTGCATCATGGAAAAGGAAAAGAGAATTTAAATGAGATAATTTGTTTAGCTAAGAGTCGGAGCGATCGGGAGAGCGTGTTCGATCGTCCGAAGTAGGATTGTGACGTCTATATTCATCCCGGTTACATGTGCTTGAATTCTTTATATTATGATCTTATTGCGAAATGAGGTAATCCTTTTTTGACAGTTATTGTCATGATTACTGCCATTATCATTATCTTCCTTTAAAATCGACACTTTATCACGCTTTTTAATATAAGTTTTTTATGATTACTACGATAGGTTTCTTAGTCCCAAAATATGTGGTTTAGGTATTTCTTCACGTCGTAAAAATCCAAAACTCGCACGAGAACAAAACGATTATCGACAGGGAACTTGCTAACTTTTAATTACCGAAAGATGTAATTAAGATATTCGAACATTAATACGCACAGAAGTTGATACTAAAGGATTATCGTCTTTGTGCCTCTCCCTTTTTCATTCCTTCGGGTTTAAGGGAAAGGGGGAGTTCGTTAAGGAGCAATGAAGGGGGGGGGGGTAGGCGGGGGGGGAGAAGGAAGGGGAAGAGAAGGGGTAAAAGCAAGAGAGAGGGATGTTGAGTGGAAGAGGGAGGAGGAGGAAAGAAGGGAGGATGGCGGAAGGAGGAAGGATTGGCGGCGGAGAAAGGAAGGGGAAGAAGAAAAGAAGTGGGAAGGGAAGGGGAGGGGAGAAAGAAATGGGTAAGGGGGATGGGGTGAGGGAAGGATGGAAAGGCGGAAGAGAAAGGAAGGGGGAAAGAGGCAAGGAAAAAGGAAGGGAAAGAATAACAAAAGAGAACGAAAAATAGAACAGGAAAAAAAAAACACAGGGATAAGAAACGAAGAGACAAGAAGGGAGAGAAGACAAAAAAGAAAAGAGCAAAGGGCAGAGGAAGAGGGGAGAGTGACAGGGTCCGCTGAGCCTCTTCTCGGAGGAGTGAATCAGCCTCTCCTCTCGCCAGTCTCTCCGGCTCAGGACATCCCGGGCGCCGTGACTGCCTGATCAAAGACTGGCTCCCTCCGCCTGGCACTGATTAAGGGGCCGCTCATGGCACTGGCACCGACGCCGATCCCTTCCTCCCTCCGAGGGGCTTTCCGCTCCCTTCCGTCTCGACTCTGTCCCTCGCGACCTCGGCTCCACGCTTCCGCTCCTTCTTTTCTCGCCTCTCTGCTCCTCGCTTGGGGGTCGGGCGGTTTTTCCTTTTTTTCTCTTTTCTTCTTACTTTGTGTTCTTGTGCGTTTTCTTGTTATCTTCCTTTCTGTGGGTTTTACTGTGGTTATTATTGCTATCATTGTTGAAATACTTATCGTTATCATATTCATCATTATCATTATCATCATAATTATCTTTACTACTATCACAATCTGAAGCACTACCACCACCACAACACATCCTCCTCCTCCTCCTCATCATCATCATCATCATCACCATCATCACCATCATAATCAGCATCACCACCACTACCATCATCATGTACCTAATCTTCCTTTTACTCTACACTACATCACTAATACTGCACTACCCCAGTCACCACCACTGACATCACCAAAACTAGGACAAACAAGCAAACAACAAACAAACAAAGAGCGCCCCCTGCATGGCCAGAATTCATGAAAAATGAAAATGTACACTGCAGGTAAAGCTGAAAATCTGCCTCTTCATCATGGCATTTTATTACATTTTGGCCGCGCCGCTCCTGCAGCATCCGATAGAAATATTGCTGGTGTATCTGCTGCCATTTATAAAAGTATTATGAAGGAAATGAATCTGGAATTTCTCGCATCAAGATTCCCTGCGGTTTTTTTTTCTGTGCTTGCGTTTCTTCGGTTCTGAGGAAGATGTGCTTGCTTGAGCTTCGTTTGAGTGTGAAGCGAGGGAGAAATGGAAACGTTCCCTCCGCATGTTTAAAATCTCTCTCTCTCTCTCTCTCTGCCTGCCTACTCTCTCTATCTCCCTCTCTCTCTCTTTCTTTGCCTGACGGACTGATTGCCTCTCTCTCTCTCTCTCTCTGCTTGACTGACTACCTGCCTGCATGTCTGCTTGTCTGTCTGTCTGTCCGCCTCTCTCTCTCTCTTCTTTCTTCTTTTTTTCTTTCTTTCTCTCTCTCTCTCTCTCTCTCTTTCTTTCTTTCTCTTTTTCTTTCTCTCTCTCTCTCTCTTTCAGTCTATCTATCAGCGTCACCATCCGTCCCCTTCTTTCTCATTTTCCTTTTCTCTTCCCCGTCTCTTCATTCCCCCCTTGGCTTCATCCTTCTCTCTTTCCCTCCCTCCTTCACGCTCTCCATCATAGTGCAAGGACACGTACAACTAGTACAAGGCACTACGACATCGAACTTTTCCCATGCATGCTCGTCAAGCTTTCCAAGAAAGAGAAAAATAAGAAAATGAAAAGAAAAGAAAAAAGGAGAAAAATACAATGGTGTTTTTTAAGTCGCGAACCGCGGGCAAGCACCCAGGGTTCAGAAGCGAAATAACTTGAGAGAGAGAGAGAAAAATGGTAAATTGTAATCGTCGTTGAGACTGGCGTTAGAGTCCTCTCCTGATTGTAACTGATAAGCTGTAATTGGATTGCATTTACGATTATCGCTGTTTATGGTCTAATGGGTGAAAGTGATGGCGCGGTATCACGGGTGGATCTTGCCGTGAACGTTTGTGGGTGCGTTTAGGTGCGTGTGTGTCAGTGTGAATGTTTGCGTGTGTGTGTGAGTGTAGTGTGTGTATGTGTGATGTGTGAAGTGCTTTGTGTGTGTGTTTGTGTTTGTGTGTGTGTGAGTACTTGTATGTCTGCGGAAAGTAAGTGTGTATGCATGTATGTATGTATGTGAGTGTGTGTCGGTATGTGTACACAGGTTTGTATATGGGCGTATGTTCATTATCATATGCATAATTTACGAGTACATTTGAGTATGTGTGTGTGTGTGCTTTGGACGAAGACATGCGTCTATCCACGCTGCCGTCACAGCGTGGAGAAAATGCCTTTTCTTCGCGTGACAGAATCAGACCCGCACTCTTTTTCGGCACGAAATACAGCAGTACAGATTCTCACCGATTTGAGGAAACCTTGCAACAGACAATACAGCCAAAATTTTACTGCGATTCCATAAAGAATATTCGAAATAAGAACACCCCAACAAGGTCACCTGGAAATGTTCGTTCTGTATTTTCGAGGGAGTCAGTATCAAGCAAGTAGCGGGTCTGCAACACTATGCAGTTAATTGCAATAATCCAGGCAATCTGTGACACGGGGCCGCAGTCCCTGGCGGTAGTTAGTGTCAATTACAAAAGCTGATTTGCCGAGATTATCATTATCGATAAAATCAGTGATTGAGATTTGCCACGAAATGGATTTTGTTTAAAAATGTTCTCTGTGAAAACTGTCAATAAAATTGAAAGGCGGAAACGGAAAATAGATCTGGAATTACAAGTGTTCGCTTGGTTGAAGTGGAATGGAGAATCTTTTCTATACTTTATCTTCATTAACACACAGTTCTATTCAAATATTTTACTTCTTTTAATGATAATAGAAGTTTTAGGCCTTCTTAGCTTTTTGGTTACCTGTATTTCTGTATTTTTGTAGCTATAACAGTGTTATTTTTTAATGTTTATCCATGTTGTTTATCCTTGATGGGATAATGTTTGTCTGTGATGCTACTTCATATACCTATCAGTTATCACTCGTTATTAAACTTTCCACAGATATCTAAATCTATTTGACCTTATTCCTTTAGATTTGATACACAAAACACCCACTTGAGTGAAGAAAATATTCCCTATATGATCCTTTCTGTACTCAATATAAAACCAATTTTCCTTATTCTACTAAACAACACACAAACAAGACGAACGAAAAGGAAATACACGCACGAGACGAAACCATTTCCCCACTCACTGATTTCCTTCCTCTCTGTCCCCCGCAGGTGAGCATTGAGCTCCACCAGCCGCTGAAGCTGAGGCGACAGGACGCTGGGTCTCAGGCTTACATGGGTTCCCACTCTCACAGCATTAGGTTCCGGCGGCAGACATCCAAAGTCATCTACCTCGTCCCAATGCATGGGGGCATCTGGACCCTCTGCGTGGGGCTCTCAGGTGAGTGGGGGAGGGAAGGAGGAGGTGGAGAAGGTGGAGGTTATGGAGAAGGAGAAGGAGGAGGAGGTGGAAAAGATGAGGGTTTTGGGGAAGGAGGAGGTGGAGAAGGTGGGTTATGGAGAGGAGGAGGAGGAGGAGGTGGAAAAGTGGGGTTATGGAGAAGGCGGAGGTGGAGAAGGTGGGGGTTATGGAGAAGGAGGAGGAGGAGGAGGTGGAAAAAGTGGGGGTTATGGAGAAGAGGAGAGAAGAGGAGGAGAGGTGGAGAAGGTGGGGGTTATGGGGAGGAGGAGGAGGAGGTGGATGTGGGGGTTATGGAGGGAGGTGAAAGTGGGGGAGAAGGGAGGAGATGGGGTGGAAGGAAAGAGGTTCTTAAAATGGGGAAAGTAGTTTATGAGGAAAAGAGAGAGGAGGGGTTGGGTCGGATATATTCGTAGTAAAGGGGTTGGCGTGTTATGATTAAAAATGGGGAAGGGGGTTTATTGGTTCACAGAGAAAAGAGGGGAAGACTTTAACTATTACCGAAAGAATGGCTTCGCGGCTTTTGACAAGGAGAAAATTGAATAGTTTCTGGCAGAGACATATTGGCAGTCCTTGAGAAGTGCCAAATAGCTGGAGTAAAAGGGGAAGGACAGCGAATCATGATAAAGGTGAGCAGAAATGTTCGCACAAAGAAAGAAGTTCAATAGATATCGAGAATCTTCAGTTCAGCGGCTCCGAAAAGCAATAGACGACGAAATCGAGAAAGCAATCAACAGACAGACTGGGACGAGACTTAAGATGGGAAATAAAACAGATTGCAGAGGATGTGAAGAGGGATAGAGCCTGAGGGGAGAGATCAAACCGAGGCATATATTGAAGAGGGGAAACGATAACACAGGCTGTACAGAACACGGCGGAAAATGATCGTCTGAAAGTATATGGTCTTTAAAATCCAATTTAAAGAGACGCTCTTCTGACCTCCTTAGAAACAAACTTTCTTAAAAGCAGTCTCGTTCTGGGAGAATTTAGAAAGCATTCATTGTAACTAAAAGGAAAAAAAGAAAAGAAAGAAGAGAACAAAGAAAAAAAGAAAAGAAAGAAAAGAAAGAAAGAAAGAAAGAAAGAAAGAAAGAAAGAAAGAAAGAAAAAAAAGAAAGAAAAAAAGAAAAAAAAATATATATACATACACACTCCTGTTCTCGATTTTGTAGGTGTAGCGTATTGCAGGTTGTGTAAAGTGAATGTGAATTTTACGAAACCGAGAAAGACGAATCGACGAGGGGAGCGACGGGAAACCGATACTGACAACCTCCCTCGCCTATGTAAGCAATGAAATCTTACATTCGACTTCGGGAAAGATGCATGTGTGTGTCCATGCATGCACACCACCGAGAGGAATGTTTAGTCTTGCATCTTCTGTAGAGATACGAGGATATGAATATGAATACATAATTAGATTTCTCCAGAGAGAGAGAGAGAGAGAGGGGCGATTCTTCTTCTTTTTTCTCCAGCTTTTAAGAAAATGCCAGAAACAGCCCACTTTCTCGCTCTTGTTTTATGCTTCGAGAAGGAGAGAGAAAAGTCTTATGTAATCATTTTCATCACGCAATTGCCTCGAAGTCTTGCAAAGTGCTCGGAACTATTATTTACGCCATCACACTGTTTCTTACGTGTGTGAATGCTAATAAACCAGCAAGGAGAATACACCTAAAGTATTTAGATACTCACAGATGTATGGGGGGTATATAATTTACCTTCCATGGCAGGGATTCGAACCCTTTATGCACTAGACGCTACGTAGAATAAGTGGTATAAACAAACTGAACCACACGTCCTGCTAAAAGAATTGTTAAAACTAGGATCATACTAGTTTCACAGGAATCGCATTTCTATTCCCAATAGACACGCGTTGAAATTGCCTCGAAAACAAAAAATCCAATATATCCCGAGATTTCTACGTGATCTGGAATATTGTAGTAATCTTACTTCCTTCTATCTCCCTCCTTTCATCCACCTTCCTTCCTTCTCTTCTTTACTCTCACGTCCCTTCTTCTTTTTCCTCAAGCCAGTGTACACAACGACCTCAAAATTTATAACATTGCTTTTACTATCATCAAGTTCGAGAGAAAAAGAAGCAATTCCACCATACAGATTCCCATAACTGTGGCATCGCGCTTTTATCTCTCATACTGCTGACTTCCCGTTTTATGTGTCTTGTGTCTACATAGCCTGAGGGGCTGACTTTCCGTTTCCCCTCATGATGCCTCTCGTCTCCCCTCGTAGACTATCTAAACGCTTATATGCAGACATACATGGACGCACAAACACACATACACACCCAAACACATACAAAAACACTTACAACACTGAAGATAAACACACGCACTTGCGCTCGCGAACACGCATACGCACAAAGGAAATTACACTCGCTGTATACAAATAAATAGCATTGATAGATAGACAGGTATGTGAATAGACAGATATATAAACAGATGAGTAAATAATTTCGATAGACAGATAGATATAAAGATATTTTGTTGGAGAAATAAATAGATAGATTGATAGATAGATAGATAGATAGGTTGATGGATAGATATATAGTCTGACAGATAGATAAACACACAGCGCCCACCCCACACACACATACACACACTCACACTCACACACATATACACACTCATTCACACACACACACAAAGACACGCATACACATGCACTACAAATTTCCCCGCTTACAGCCCCATTTTTCGTCGCATAAAATGTAACTTTACCCTTCCTCGCAAACAAACTAAACAAGCTTACAACATATAAGGGAAGCGGTTGTGGCTCACAAATAGTCGCCTGCTTATCTTGCACAGGAGTGCTATTGCTCCAAAGTGTATGTTCCGTGTGTATGTCAGAGAGAAAGTTAATACAGTGAAGGAGACAGGTAAAGCGGAAGAGAGATGAATGGAAAGATATAGCTATATATATATATATATATATATATATATATATATATATATATATATATATATATATATATGTATGTATATATATATATATATATATATGTATATATATATATATATATAATATATATATATATATATATATACTACATATATATAATGTATGTATGTATGTATCTCTCTCTTATATAATATATATATATATATATATATATATATATATATATATATATATATATATATATATATATGTATGTATGTATATATATGTTATATCTCCATACCTATTTATGTACACACACATATATATATATATATATATATATATATATATATATATATATATATATATATATTATATATATATATATATGTATGTATATATATATGTGTGTATGTGTGTGTGTGTTTGCGTACATGCGGAGAGAAAGAGAGCGAAAAATGTTGGAGAGATATAAGTATGCAGATATTCATTGGAAATATGCACATCGATACCAGTAAAGGAATGGCCATGCCTTTAGGCTTCCTTGTCGCATGCACTGTAAATCCATAAGTGCGATGCATGCGGGGCCGAGGTGTGAATGCATATGAGACACAGGCACGAAGGGGGAATAGGCAAACAGGCGAAGGGAAAGGGCAAACACGCGCGCAGACGGTCACGCCAACCCAGTCCTGAAGGTGCGGAAAATCACCGCCAGAGGGACGGAGGACCGCGATCTGAATCGGCCAAAAATCGTCGTGTGAGAACGTGTCAGACGTCAATATCGGGCGCAAATGATCGTGTTGGCGACGCCCATGCCTCCGCGGCGGCGCTCGGCATCTAAATTATCCCCAACGCGATGGTGAAGCGGCGGGCGGGCGGGCGGGCGCGGTCCAACCCTTCTGCGACGTCGAGCAAAAGCCATCAGTGCGGCGCCCGGGAGGGAGACGGCGCGCCCACACCGGCCGGCAGACGCGTGGGCGGAGGGAGTCTTGGCGTGGTCTTCGCAAATCAGCGGTCACGCCACCGCCGCCGCCCGCCACAGCGACGGCCGGAATGCCAGGCCGTAATTGGGAGGGAAGGAATTGCTCTAATGGCCAAAGGGCCGTTGTAGTTATGGCCGAGAGACATTTAGGCTGAATGCGGGGATCTGTCTTTCGCTATGTCTGCTCGAATCCCTCGTCGCTGCTCGTCTTTCTGGCGCTGTTCTCTCTTCGTTATGAGATATTTGTATGGATGTTTATGTACACACACACACACACACACACACACACACACACACACACACACACACACACACACACACACACACACACACACACACACAGATATACACACGTACGCACACATATATGCATATGCACATGGATACATCAATGTTTATTCCTCTAGACCTCACTTTATCTGTAAAATGATTCCTCTGTCTGCCTCCATCTTACTCAATTTTCTATCTGCTCTCTGGCAATGCATTGTAAGAATGAGTTCATGCATATGTCTATATTTATTTTAGTAAAATCAGCAAAGTTATTATGGTGTATTATACTTGAGGCAACGATGAAAAAAAGATCCACTGAGCAGTAAGAATTACAACTAAGAAGAGGATTAGAGAGCAGGAAAATAGCATTGCAAATTACTTTCTGAGAAAACTGGGCTTAGATATATATATATATTTTTTTTACACATAATTGTTATTTCTATGAAACGAAGGGGGGGGGGGTTGTCTGGCTTTTGCATAAACATTTAAATACATGTTAATTTCTCTCTCAGTTGGCCAAATGTAAGGTGAGATTAGTGATATAGAAATGGATACAGACGATGATAATAATAATGAAAATTAATAATGATAATGATAACGGTGTACTGATAAGAAAACGATACCAAAAATAATTATGATTATGTTAGGCAATCACATTAATCTTTAAAACGCCAGTCCTGAATTCTGAATAAATGGCAAAAACAGATGAAGATACATTATCAATATTGAAAATCACGAATTTCTTATACCTGCGTTCTCTCCTCTGAAGATAACGTTTTAACCCAAGAAACAGATCCATAATTCATCTGACATTTTGGAACCAAACTTCCGCTTTGAGTTGATGAAATGCATAACACTGGTATATTGATGTCTGAGAGTTCTTAGACGTTTGTTTGTATTCGTCATAACAAAAAGAAAAAAAATCGATTGATTGATATCGAATGCATACATCTGAAAAGAAGCTGTTTTTTTTCAAACTATGCTATCATTATAATATCGACTACAATAAACGTTATTTTCTTCATAATGATGTCAGTATGAAGAAATGACTTTACGTAGCGTGAGGTTTTGACAGCTTGTTCTAACTCCCTGTGTTATGGGGTTATGCTTTGTACGAAAGGGCAAAGTTGGGGATATTGTCTGGGTTGACGACGCACTGTGAAGTATTATGACTTAGAACTTAAAGCTTCTGGAACTTTCTTGCAGCAGCGCCTTCAAGGAGGGCTAAGAAATTTGACATGCTTTGACGTCCTAATCCTTTCTCTCTCTCTCTCTCTCTCTCTCTCTCTCTCTCTCTCTCTCTCTCTCTCTCTCTCTCTCTCTCTCTCTCTCTCTCTCTCTCTCTCTCTCTCTCTCTCTCTCTCTCTCTCTCTCTCTCTCTCTCTCTCTCTCTCTCTCGCTCTTCTCTTCTCTCCCCCTCCCATCTCTCTTCTCATCTCTCACTCCTTATTCTCTCTCTCTCTCTCTCTAATCACACAATCAGTAATGATAAGCTCGATAACAATAAGAGAATAAACGCACGTATCTTGAGCCAGGAAGAGAGCAACAAGGTAAGACTTCCTGTTTATTTCGAAAGAGATCCGATCACATTAGAGGAGATCAAATTGCACTCGAGGAGATCAGATTGCATTAGAGGAGGTTATCGGCTGGCTAATTTAGTGATAGTGATAACGATAATGATGTTGATGTTTTGTCGATTATACTAATGGTGATGAAACGACGATATGATATGGTGCTAGGAGCGATGAAGATGATAATGATTATGACAAAAATGATCTTAATAATAGTAGTATTAATGATGACAGTAATGATAACAATTAAAGTGATGTTGGTGATAATGATCATTGCACTGATAACGATGATGATAAGGATGATAATAGTTATAAAACAGTGATGTTGATGATAGTAATAGTAATGATAATAATCATAGTGATAAGTAACAAAGGTAAAGCAATACAATGATAATAATTACAATGACTACGATAATTATAGTAATAATGACGATCATGATCATAGTGATTATAATGATGATGATAACAATGATGATGATGATGATAAGGATGATGACAATGATGATAATTATGATGATGATGATGATGATAATAATAATAGTAATGATAGTGATGATCATAATGACTAATATTAACAATCATGATGATGATAATGACAACAATAATTCATATAAATTGATACGCAAAAGCCTTTACTGTCTCTCTCTCTCTCTCTCTCTCTCTCTCTCTCTCTCTCTCTCTCTCTCTCTCTCTCTCTCCGTCTTCCTCTCTCACGCTCCTTTGTCCCTTGGCAACGAACAGCAGCCTACAACACGCAACAAAGAAGGAAGAGGAAGAGGGCAAGGAAGAGAAGTAGGAGTAAGGGGGAAAGGGGAGATGGAGGAGGAGGAATAAATTGAGGAAGAAAGGTAAGAGGAAGAGGAGGCGGAAGGGGGAGATGGAAGAGGAGGAGGAGAAGGAGGAAAAAGGGGGAGATGAAGGAGGAGGAGGGAGGGGGAGATGGAAGAGGAGGAGTAGAAGGAGGAGGAAGGGGGGAGGAAGAGGAGGAGGAAGAGGAGGAAGGGGGGATGAAAGAGGTGAGGAGGAGAAAGAAGAGGAAGAAGTAGGGTAGGAGAAGGAGGAGAAAACGTAATAGGAAAGAGAAAGTAAATGTAGGAGAAGAAGAAGGAGGGAAAAGAGAATGAAGGAAGAAGAGTGGGAAATGCAGATGGAAGAGAGAGAATAATGAAGAAGGGGAGAAGAACACAACTGAGGTGGAAGAAAATAATGAGAGAACGAAAAGAGGAAGATCAAATACAGAAGGATAAGGAGAAAAGAGGAGGGTTGGAAGCAAGAAGAGAAAGGGGGAAGAGGAGAAGGAGGAAGAGAAAAGAGGAGGAGGAGACGAAGAAAACGAGAGAGAACGAAAAGAGAAGAGTCACAGAAGGAGAAGGAGAAAAGAGGAGGAGGAGAAGGAGGAAAAAAGGAGGAAGAGAAAGAAGGAAGATGAGGAGGAGAAGAAGGAGGAAGAGGAAAACGAGGAAGAGAATGGAAGGAAGAGGAGAAGGAGGAGGAAAAGAAAGAGAGAAAGAAGGAGGAGACGAAGAAAGACAGAGAAAGAGGAAGAGAAAGGAAGAAGATGAGAAGGAGGAGGAAAAAAAGAGAGAAAGGAGGAGGAGAAGAAAGAGAGAGAGAAGGAGGAAGAGAAAGGAAGAAGATGAGAAGGAGGAGGAAAAGAAAGGGAGAAAGAAGGAGGAAGAGAAGAAAGAAAGAGAGAAGGAGGAAGAGAATAGAAGGAAGAGGAAAAGAAAGAGAGAAAGAAGGAGGAAGAGGAGAAAGAAAGAGAGAAGGAGGAAGAGAATAGAAGGAAGAGGAAAAGAAAAGAGAAAGAAGGAGAGAAGAGAGAGAGAGAGAGAGAGGAGGAAGCGAAAGGAGGAGGCACCGCAGACGGCTCTCCGCTGCCAGTGTTCAGCGAAAGGTCACCTGAAGGACTGCAGAGCTCGATTGCAACGCAGCTGCAACAGCACAGGTCGCTCTCGCTTCTTCGCGGAGGTCGGCCGGTCCGGGTGGGGGGGGGGAGAAAAGGGGGAAATGGGGGGGGGTTGGGGAGGGAGGGGGGAAAAGGGGAGAGGGGGAGAGGGGAGGGGAGGGGGAAAGGGGGGTTTTGGGGGTTGGGGAGGGGAATGGGGAAGAAGGGGAAAGGGGGAGGAGAAAAGGGGTTGGGGAGAGGGGGAGAGGAAAAAAGAGGGAAAGGGGGAGAGGAGAAAAGGGGGAAAGGAGGTAAGGGGGAAAGGGAGAGAGTTGTGGGATAGAAGGGGGGAGGGGAAATGGGTAGAGAGAAGAGGGAGAGATGCGGGGGGGCTGGGAAAAGGGGAGATAAGGAAGGTGGAGAGGGGAAAAAAGGAAGGGACAGAGGAAAAGAGGGTGAGGGGGAATGAGGAGAGGAAGAGAGGGGAAGGAGAGAGAGTGGAGAAGGGAGAGGAGAGATGGAAAAGGGGGACGGGTGATGGGAGAAGGGGAAGAGGGGAGAGCAGAGAAGGAGAGAATGAGAGAGAGAAGAGAGGGGTAGAGGAGGTAGGGGAGCTGGCGAGGGAAGGGGGGGAGGGGGGCTGGGGGAAGCGATAATAGTGAGAATCCTATAGTAATGGTCTCTTATGGTGACGATAAGAGGTTATGGGAGGTTGTGAACGGTGGGAATATTTGGATTAGTTATAGCAATGAGGATAATGGAAATGAGATGGTGCTGGCAATGCTAATCAAATCTAAACAGTACCGTTGGTAGCGTTAGAGATAGTGGCATTGGTAATGATTTCAAAATGTTATTTTTATTGTTATTATCATTATTGTTATTATTATTATTATTATTATTATTATTATTATTATTATTATTATTATTATTATTATTATTATTATTATTATTTATTATTATTATATTATTATATTATCATTATTGTTATCATTATTATTTTTATCTTTATTACTACTGCTACTGCTGGTGATATATTGTACCGCTGATGCTACTATTTCTTTCTTTTTTTGTCATAATGATAATTATGTCATTATTATCATTACTATCGATATTATTGATGGTAGTGATGGTGATATTTGTAATTATTTTAAAGATATTGTTATATATTGTTATTGTTATTGTCACGATTACTATTATTATCATCCTTGTTATTGTCATTATTATTATTGTTATTTTGTTATCAGGTTGTTACTATTTGTCTTCTTATTCTTATTCTGATTACTTTCATTATTATTGTCATTAGTATTATAACAATTATTGTTATCATTATTAATATTATTATTATCATTATTATTTATTATTATTATTATTTATTTATTATTATTATCACTGTTATTCTTATTATCATTATCATAATCATTATTATTGCCATTATTGTTATTATTACTATCATTATTATTATTATTATCATTATTATTATCATTATTATTATTATTATTGTTATTATTATTATCATTATCATTTTTATTATTATCATCATTATCATTTTTACTATCCTTATTGTCGTCATCATTATCATTATCATTACTATTATTATCATTGTTATAATCATTATCATCATCACCCTCATCATTATTGTTGTTATTATTGTTCGTCTTATTATTATTGTCATTATTATTATCGTCATTACTATTATCACTATCATCATCATCATGATCATCATCATGATCATCATCATTATTATCATTACTATCATTATGATTGTTGTTGCTCTTGTTGTTATTGTTGTTGTTAATGATGATGATGATGATAATAGTAATAACAATGATAGTGATAAAACAGCACCAAGAATAATAACAATGATGATAATTACAATGATAATGATAGAGATGATAATGATAGTGATGATGATGATACTGTTAATGATAATGATAATGATAATGATAAAGATAATAATGATAGTAATATTAAGAAAATGGACAAAACTAAAAGAAGAAGAAGAAGAAAAGAAGAAGAAGAAGAGGAAGAAAACAACAACGTCGACAATAATATATCAAAACAGATAACAATAAAAAAGCAAAAAAAAAAACAAAACATCAACAAAAACAAAAAACTGGAAACAAAACAAAAAACGAGAAAAAAACACACAGACAACAAAACAAATAAAAAAACAACAGCAACAGAAGAAACAACACCAAAATGCCCCCCAAACAAATAAATACATACAGACAAACAGACAAACAGACAACAAAACAGAATTACAAGAATGCAATGACAGGACCTGGAATCGTGTTGAGATATTCCCAAACATCTCGATAGTCGTACGGCGACCTCTGGGAACGGCAGAATCGATGTTGCTGGAACGTAAACTGGAATCAGTTGGCTTCCTATTCTTTTTGCCTTTAGGGTAAGGGAATTGGAAAACAGAAAATGGAAAGAAAGGGGAAGGGGGAGGAGGAAGGTGGGGGGGGAGGTGGGGGAAGGTAGGGAAGGAGATTTAAAAGGAAGAAGGAAGAAGAAACTCTCTCTCTCTATTTTTTTCTATCTTTCTCTTTCTTTCTCTCCATCTGTCTATCTATGTATCATCTACCAGTCTATTTTATCTATCCCCACCCCCCTCTCTCTCTCTTTCTTTTCTTTCTCTCTTCTTTCTCTTTCTTTCTTTCTCTCTCTCTCTCTCTCCTCTCTCTCTCTTCTCTCTCTCTCTCTCTCTCAACCTATTCTCTCTGTAACCAAGCCAGAAGATTCACACGGTAGCAAGAAAGCCCTGAAGTCAGTTTCCCTAGCA